GCTCTGCCAAAATGGCAACTTATCAGAATGGCTCTACAGTAAGACTCATGTTGATATGACTTGAATCGGATTATCAGCCGCTACGACTGGTAATCGGGGGTCTCGCTGACGTGGACAAACGCCCCCGGCCCACGGTGTATGGGCTCAATGTTATTTGGGTTCGGGTTCTGGGCCTGGTCTGTAACCGTTTCCTTTGTCAGATTGGATTAGGTTTAGACCCACATGGAGAAGTGCTCTAAATACTTCTCATACTCCTCTGTAATCTGTAATCTCCTCGATATAGTGAAACTGGCTCTCTCTCGCCCGTAGACGTAGCTAACACACATCGTGTTAGTGAACTACATAAATCGTGTGTCTGTGTTTTTCGATTCTAGCTTTCGTATTCTTGCTTTGTCGATTCCAGCGATTTCCCGATCCGTAGCAGCGCGTTTATAACAAGTGGTATCAGAGCCGCGGCTGGAAATCAGGTTAGGGTTTTCGATTCAGAAGAATGACGTCGGTGAACATGAAGATCGAAAAGTTCACGGGGAAGAACAGCTTCGCTATATGGCAGATCAAGATGCAGTGTTTATTAAAACAGCAAGGGCTGTGGGGGCCGCTGTCTGCGAAACAGAAGAAGGCAGCGGTCGATGACGATGAGTGGAATACCCTGGAGGAGAAGGCGCACTCGACCATCATGCTATCGTTGTCTGATGACGTCATCATTGAAGTCGCTGCTGAGAAGACTGTCGCGGGCTTGTGGTTGAAACTAGAGAGTCTGTACATGACTAAGTCTCTAACCAACAAGCTGCATCTCAAGCAACGGTTGTTCAGCTTGAGGATGCAAGAAGGTACGCCTTTGAGGGAACATCTCGAACAACTTAACTCTATTTTGCTGGATCTGCGTAATATAGATGTTCAAGTTGATGACGAGGATGCTGCCCTAATCCTGCTGGTTTCTTTGCCGAGTTCATATGAGAATTTCGTTGATTCTTTTATTGCTGGTAAAGAAAGCGTGTCGTTGGAGGATGTCAGGTCTGCTCTTCATACGAGAGAGATCAGACATAAGGCGTCCGGATCTGGTACAGGTGGTGAGGCATCGGGTTTGGCTGTTACAGGTGGAAAGGGAAAGAAGAAATCTGGTAAAGGGAATTCGAGCAAGAATTCCAAGGGTCCCGGTCCACAGCCAGGTGATGCTTGTCACAACTGTAAGGAAGTGGGGCATTGGAAGTACAACTGTCCCAAGAGAAGAGGGCAACAGAAGAAACAAGGTTCAGTTGCCGTGGCAGAAGTGGACAACAGTTCTGAAGACGATCTCGCCTTGGCTGTAGATGAGAAGGCACATCGTGGTGATGTGTGGTTTCTGGATACTGCAGCCTCATATCATATGTCTCCGAACAGGGATTGCTTCACAACCTACGAGCAGATAGATGGTGGTAACGTGGTCATGGCTAATGGAGCTGTCTGCAAGGTTGTTGGAATCGGGTCCATAAAGGTTCGGACACATGATGGTTCGTTCTGTACCGTGAATGATGTCAGGCATGTTCCACGAATGACAAAGAACCTGATCTCCTTGAGTCTACTCGACAGCAAGGGTTTCAGCTTCAAAGGAAAAGGTGGAGTTGTGTATGTCTGCAAGGGTTCGAGGAAGGTACTGAAGGGCGTGAAGCGTGGGACCTTGTATGCATTACAAGGGTCTGTGTTGTCTGGTTCTGCTGCAGTTGCATCGTCTCAGGTTCAACAGGAAGATATGACCACTCTCTGGCACATGAGACTGGGGCATATGAGTGAACGGGGGATGCAAGTTCTATCGAAGAGGGATCTTCTTTGCGGGCACAAGGTGCAGAATTTGGAATTCTGTGAGCATTGTGTGTTTGGGAAGCTACATCGCAGCAAGTTTCCCAAGAAGGGTATCCACCGGACGAAGGGGATACTAGATTACCTCCACTGACTGTTGGGGTCCTTCACGAGTTGAATCCATTGGAGGCAGCAGGTATTTTCTGTCTATTATTGATGATTATTCGAGATTTACTTGGATTTTCATGATGAAGCAGAAAAGTGAGGCTTTCACGAAGTTCAAGCAGTGGAAGACATTGGTGGAGAATCAGACCGGTAAGAAGATCAAGAAGCTGCGAACGGACAATGGTCTGGAGTTCTGCAGTTCTGAGTTCAACGAATTCTGCAAGGATGAAGGGATTGCCCGTCATCGGACTGTTAGAGATACACCCAGCAGAATGGCGTTGCAGAAAGGATGAACCAGACATTGTTGGAGAGAGCACGGTGCATGCTCTCTAATGCTGGACTAGAGAGAAGATTCTGGGCAGAAGCAGTAAACATGGCGTGCTTCCTGATCAACCGTGGACCACACAGGTATCGAGTGTAAGACTCCTTATGAAGTGTGGTATGGTAAGCCTGCTGATTACTCTTCACTGAAAGTTTTTGGGTGTCCTGTTTATTATCATGTGGATGAGGGTAAACTGAACCCAAGGGCAAAGAAGGGTGTATTGTGGGTTACGGAGATGGAGTTAAGGGATTTCGAGTCTGGTCACCTTCTGAGCATCGAGTTATACTTAGTAGAAATGTGATATTTGATGAGAAGTCTATGTTTAACCCCATGTTGAAGGTTACTGTTGTTGAAGGTAGCAGGAATGTTGATAAGCAGGTGGAGCTGCAAACTCTCAATGAGAGTGAGTTTGAGCACCAAGGTGGAGAAGATCAACATGATGAGGATGTCTCTGCAGAGCCAGAAACTTCAGAGTCCAGTGCACGAGCTCAACAGTCTATTGCTTCCGGTAGACCGAAGAGAGCGACTGCAGGAGTACCTCCACAGAGGTATGGCTTCGAGGACATGGTGGCGTATTCATTTCAGGTTGCTGAGGAAGTGGATGCAGGAGAGCCACAGTCCTATAGAGAAGCAGTTTCGGGTGGTGAAGCTGATCAGTGGCTTGCCGCAATGGGAGATGAGATGGAATCCCATGACAGGAATCAGACTTGGGAGCTAGTCAAACGACCACAGGGAAGGAAGATTGTTACAAACAAGTGGATCTACAAGAAGAAGGAAGGAATCACTTCTAAAGAGGGCATGAAATTTAAAGCTCGGGTGGTTGCACGAGGCTTCTCGCAGAGGGAAGGAGTTGACTACAATGAGATTTTCTCACCAGTGGTCAGACATACTTCGATCAGAGTGCTACTAGCAATAGTGGCACATTATGACTTGGAGCTCGAGCAGCTAGACGTGAAGACAGCTTTCCTACATGGAGAGTTGGAGAAGAAATTTACATGACTCAGCCAGAAGGATTCGAGGTTCCGGGAAAAGAAGACTATGTTTGTAAGCTGAAGAAGTCCTTGTATGGACTTAAGCAATCTCCGAGGCAGTGGTACAAGAGATTTGACAGTTACATGCTTGAGCTGGGCTACAACAGAAGTCCATATGATTGTTGTGTATATCACAGCAAGGCAGAGGATGGTTCGATGATATATCTAGTTCTGTATGTGGATGATATGCTCATAGCTGCGAGGTCAAAGTCTGATATCCAGAAGTTAAAGGGGCTTCTCAGTGCTGAGTTTGAGATGAAGGATTTGGGAGCTGCTCAGAAGATCTTGGGTATGGAGATTTACAGGGACAGGTCGAAGAAGAAGCTTTTCTTGTCACAGAAGAGCTACATCCAGAAGATACTGTCGAGGTTTGGCATGTCTTCAGCAAAGCCCTTAAATACTCCTAGTGCTTCAAATGTTCATCTATCCTCAGCTTATGCACCGCAGTCAGAGGCTGAGAAGGAGTACATGTCGAGAGTCCCATATGCTAGTGCAGTAGGTAGCTTGATGTACGCTATGGTATGCACTAGACCTGATCTTGCACATGCTGTTAGTGTTGTCAGCAGGTTTATGATACAACCTGGGAAGGAGCATTGGCAGGCTGTGAAGAGGATCTTCCGGTACCTTAAGGGTACACCTGATGTGGGGATTAGCTTCGGAAGTGATACAGAGTGCTTGGTGTCTGGGTATTCTGACTCGGACTATGCTGGAGATGTTGACACGAGGAGATCGATGACCGGTTATGTATTCACTCTTGGGAGTTCTGTAGTGAGCTGGAAGGCAACTCTGCAGTCGGCGGTGACATTGTCTACTACTGAGGCAGAGTATATGGCGTTGACAGAAGCTGCTAAGGAGGGAATATGGTTGAAGGGACTGGTTGGTGATCTGGGTCTACATCATGATCAGGCAGTGGTGTATTGCGACAGTTTGAGTGCAATATGCTTGGCCAAGGATCAAGTCCACCATGAGAGGACTAAGCACATCGATGTGAGGTATCATTTCTTGAGGACAGAGAAGAGGATTAAGGTGAAGAAGGTTGGCACCGCGGATAATCCTGCTGATATGTTCACGAAGCCGGTTCCACATGGCAAGTTCCAACACTGCTTGGACTTGCTGAATGTCTTGAGTGGGTGACTCCGCCCTACGGGGCATTGATGGCGGGAGAGAGAGAAGGAGCAGAGTACATCAGAGATTTCAGAGGAAGAGGATTCAAGTCAAGGTGGAGATTTGTTGATATGACTTGAATCGGATTATCAGCCGCTACGACTGGTAATCGGGGGTCTCGCTGACGTGGACAAACGCCCCCGGCCCACGGTGTATGGGCTCAATGTTATTTGGGTTCGGGTTCTGGGCCTGGTCTGTAACCGTTTCCTTTGTCAGATTGGATTAGGTTTAGACCCACGTGGAGAAGTGCTATAAATACTTCTCATACTCCTCTGTAATCTGTAATCTCCTCGATATAGTGAAACTGGCTCTCTCTCGCCCGTGGACGTAGCTAACACACATCGTGTTAGTGAACCACGTAAATCGTGTGTCTGTGTTTTTCGATTCTCGCTTTCGTATTCTTGCTTTGTCGATTCCTGCGATTTCCCGATCCGTAGCAGCGCGTTTATAACAACTCATCATCCCTTCACTTCCATGGAGGACAAATTTTTTGCCCTGCTTGCTTTTCCCACTCATTCACACAGTTTCAGCTTCCGATAGACGAAGATCGGGCCCTTTCATGGCTACAGAGGATTGAGATCGCTATCGACTGTGCTAGAGGTCTCTGGTTACTTCACACTTACCCAGGACGCTCTATTGTTCACCGCAATATCAAGGCATGCCCTTATTTTGGCTCTTTGTATTCTAGTTCATCGTTTCAACTCATTTCCAAAGTTATCAACTTGGGACATTCATTTGTGAGTTCAGAAGTGAGAGGAACGTTTAGTTATGTGGATCCTGAGTATCAGAGGAACCACCATGTAAATGCTAAGGGGGATGTCTATAACTTTGGGATAGTGCTGATGCAAATTCTATCTGGACAGAAGCTGATCAACATGAATCACAACACACGTATGAAAGAAGGAACTAGATTTCCATCGAAAGCCAATCTGGATTTCTTCCATACACAAGTTCATATAAATCTTTCAGGTCTTGATCTTCTTCAGTTCAAACTTTTTGCAGGCTTATATAGCCGTCACGGGGAATTTATCAGAATTTGGTGATCCTAAACTTAACGGGGAGTATTCTACTGAAGCGTTTGAGATTCTATTCAAGCTGGCCCTGTCATGCTCAGGTTGTAAGCAGGACAGACAAGGTGGGAACAAGATTGGAGAAAGCGCTAAACATCTCAATGAGATCGTCGAGCTGACGAAGCATCATCACATCTAATCAAGCTGACCCAGAAGGTATTGTTTATATAGTTGAAATCTCAATGAGATCGTCGAGCTGACGAAGCAAACACATCGAATCAAGCTGACCAGAATGCCTTGTTTGTATATCAAACATAAAAATCTGTAGTACATTACTCTTTTACAACACTGAAAGTCATTTCATTTACAACACAGGAAAAGAATTACAACAGAATAGATATGTAGTTTTGTACAAAGCTTCATTTTAAAAATACAGAAGCCAAGACAATATGATGTTGTTAGCTCTTCAAAAAACCGAGCTAATGTGAACAACAACAAAGAAAGCAAGCATCCTCTACACAATGCAAGTGTATATACAGATGACAGGTGCTTGCAAATGAAATAAAAAGAATGAAAAAATGTGGAACCAAAATGATAAAATAGCTTTCGGTTTACCACGCATGAACAAATTGCTCCCGAGGAAGAACTGTTGCCTTTGAAGTGGAGGAGGTTCTTTCATAGAATTCGTGAAGAACCCTAATGAGAGCACCGGCTTTCTTGCTTGCTCGAGATGTGCCTTCACTGAGTTGGGAATATAATGATCCCATAAGAGAAGGGCTACGCACCAGATAAGCCACCACATCTTCACCACCATTGATGGATAGAGCAAGCAACAGGCAGACACAGTGCTCCATTGTGGCCCTTGGATTGGTAGAGGCCAGAATCCTTACAACCTGAGGCAAAGCTCCGCATCTAATAATCGCTTGTGCCCCCTCAGATTTCTCGGCCAGAGTTGCTAGAACTGCTAAAGAATCCGTCACAACCTCGTCTCTGTCCGAAGAGATCAGGACATCGAGAAGTAAAGGAACTGCTCCAGATGCAAGAACCCTCCAATGGTTTCCTGGATGCATCAGCAGCCCATAGATTGCAACGAGAGCATTCTTTTTCCCCCTGTAGTTTGCTTCTTTGACCATCTCTACCAAATCCGAGATAGCTTCTGTGGTTTCACCAATCAATTTTCTGTACTCCTCAATTGAAGCGAGATAGAAGACTGTTGCAGCTGCATGCTGCCTAGCCTCCACCTTCACTCCCTTCTTCAAGATATCTACAATGGATCTCAACCCTCCATTCTCAACAATCAAAGCTTTGCTTCTCGAATGCTTTGAGAGATTCAGAAGGGCTGCAATGGCATTCTCCTGAGAAGTACCGTCGTCTTCTGACGACAGTAATTCCAAAAGGGACGGAATAACTCCAGCTTCCACTAAACAAGACCTGTTAAAAATGCTTGTTTTGCTAAGAAGTCGGATCTCATAAGCTGATTTGTTCCTCCCTTTACAATCTCCACCTAGGAGCTTACCAGCAAGAAAACTAGCTGCAGCTTTCATAGCACTTTCTGCAGCCAAACTGCCTGCAGCCGCCGTCCTGGTTATGTCCCGGATCTTGCGACTGGAATCAGCAACTGGGATGCCATTTGCAAGGCAATACTGCTGAATCAATTGCTTCAGAGCAACATTTGGTATAAGCTCTGTGCTTGACAACTTTTTCCCCGTGTTGGGGCATGTTGCATTTCCAGCCCTGAACCATTTCAGAATCGAACAACGGTCATAAGTATGCCCGGTCTCGATTATGACAGGATCCCTCATAATTTCAAGAGAAATCGGGCAGCGGAAACTGTCACCGTCAAGGGAACGCAGCAACTCGTGGTTGCGGCTTTCACCCTCACCGTCAACGGGCTGATTGGATTTACCGTATACGGAATCGAACAACACGCACCTAGCGTAGTTCATCAAACCTAGCAAGCTACTCAACGCATCCAATTCTCTTTTCATTTCCTTATTCGAGTAATGAAACTCAATCTCGGAGTCCAAGAACTTTACCTCCCTGTAACAGTCGCTCCATTTCTTCACCCCGATGTAATCCAGTACCCGCTTGATCTCTCCGCGATCGGGGACATCACCGCCGCCCTCGAACCTGCGCAAGATCGTGAGCACCTCCGCCATGGCTGCTTGGTCACCCGATGCGACTTCAAATTTCGTCTGTCTCGCTTGCCTCACCGCCAACTCGGCCACCTCCACCGCCTCGCACGGCAGATCGAGAACCTCCAACGGCAGGACCTCCAGAGCCGTAGCCATCTCACGAACCAGAACCAGGAAATGATTCGCGACCCGATCCGACTCCATCAGCATCCACATCCGGGCGCCGTCGCCGCGGGTGCAATCGTCGAGCAAGTAGATCACCTTCTGGACAGTCAGGTGAAGCTCCGAAAGCCCGAGGAGGAGCGAGTCGGGGATCGGGGAGAACGAGAGCCTAATTTCGTGGAGGAGGAGGAGGAGGTTGCCGACCTGGCGAATGGTTTCGCGTGCATTCCTCACATTGCTGCCGAACGACTTGGATTTGTAGTCGCAGGCGGAGCGGCAGAGCGCGATTAGAGAGGCGAGGAGAGTCGCCGGAGCGATGCTTTGGCATGGGTGAACCGCCGGGAAGGTGAGAATCCGGCGGGAGGAAGCGTTGGAGTTTTGGATCATGAAGATGAAGACAAAAAAAAAGAAGGATATGGGAGAAAGGCTTTTTTCTGTGAGGGGAATGGATTTAGATTTTGTTGGTTTGTGTGGATGGAGTGAAGGGTAAGTGAGCGTTGAATATATAGTGGGGGGAAGAAGGTGAAGGCTTGGGGTGGACACGTGGTGGCGTATGATTCGTCTGTGGTGGTGAGTTAGGAAGGAGCGCGGAATGGTGTTACCTGGGATAAAGGCCGGTTTGTGGAATTATGGGAAGGAGTTGACGGGAGGAGGACAGGTGGCGGCGAATTATTGGGGGCGACTTAGGGAAGGGTACAAGGAAATTGGGTAGCCGACAAGGTGTACGGGGAGGGAACGTGGAATTGCGAGGGAGATTGGCTGGCCTAGCGTTGGATTCTGATTACGTGCATCATTAAGGTTAATACTTAATTTTGGATATATGATATGGTACTAATTAATTAATTAACATAATTCCCTTCTCCTTTTTCAGTAACAGTTTGGACGAAGCTGGGCAGGAGGATGGTGGCTTGGTTCTGGGCATTTCCAGCGTATGGGCTTTCACTGAGGCCTTATAGCATATGGGGCTTCGTTTATTGGGCCAGCAAAGTGAAACAACTGCCTTTCAGGAGAAATATAATTGGGCTTGGTTAAAGCCTTACCCTTCGTTCTAAACTTCTAATTGAGCCAACACTGGCCTCTTGCTTATTTGAATCCTCCTGTATGGTTTTGATGAAGGACCGATTGTATTAATGAGAGATTTGATCATCGACAAATGCTTGGCTAGGGATATAGCAGACAGCATCATTCTGCAAGAAAAAGATATTTAGTAAAATTATAAGTATACCTGGTCCAGTAGATTACTTAATGAAATGGCCATGTAGCCTAATGGTAGTCAAGCTTTACTTTTATCCTAAAGGACACAGGTTCAATTACTAGTTATTTATATTGTACTTCTTGCTTTACACACTTCAAGACTTCATTATTTTAGTTCCCGAAACAAAACGACAGAAACTATCGTCTATTTTTAATCTAAGTACGGAATTAACAAAAATAAGACTGTCAATTAAATTCAATTTTGTTGATAGGCGGATTTGTTTCTTTTAACTCTTCTAGTTTTCACTGCTCCAGGTGAACATGCATTTTTTGGTTATGAATAGTGAAGAATAGACTACAAAACAAAATGAATGATGAGTTTTGCTGATAGTTTAGTTATTTATATTGGAATAAATATAGCTAAAAAATTTATTTTACATACTATTTTGAGTAATTTTTCATAATTATTTTAATTTTTTTCGGTCCACCCGATCTCGAAATTCTGACTCCGCCCATGCTTACAAGTTACAAAAAAATGAGTTTTGTTAAAAATTTCCACTTTCTCGTCTTTGCGGATGATCTTAAGCCACAGAGAGAATGAAGTTTTGAAAAAAGTTATTAGAGTCGCATGGTCATTAGATGAAAGGCAAAAAATAAAGGGTAAATACAATTTAATATCCAAACCTTTCATTTTAAACAATATAATAGCCAAATCTTTTCGAAAACAATCTAATATCCAAATCGTCAACTTTCCGTTCATTTGACCGTTACTTAACACTTCAAAAAAGTTCGAAGTACGGGCTTCATCAATATTCATCGATATCTTCTCTGAAAAACCACCAACATATCGTGGTTCCAAACCCGAGAAGTCCATGACTCCACCATGATGATATAGAATATCTAAATATTCAGTCATATGCAATGCCAAAACAAAAAAATAAAGTTGTATTGTGACATTTTCCCCTAAACAAAGCTTTTTTGAAGTGTCAACCAACGGTCAAACGGACGGAAAGTTGACGATTTGGATATTAGATTGTTTTCGAAAAGGTTTGGCTATTATATTGTTTAAAATGAAAGGTTTGGATATTAAATTGTATTTACCCTAAAATAAACCAAATAGGTAACAATTTTGAAGTATGTTTTATACAACATCTAATGTCATTCTCTGCCAACAAACTAACCAATCCACCATGAATCCATGATAGGGGCAGTAACCAATTATGAGAAAATGTGTTGTCGAGATTCAAATCTCCCTAACCAATTATGAAGCATCAACACAAAAAAAAAAAAAAAAACATAGTTTTGATGTTATTTCTATCCAAATTAATATTAACATGATATCCTGAGTATTAGAAGAACCACCATAAGAGTGGCAAAATCTGATAGAGGAGGAATGGATCCATCAAACAAACCCTAATTTGTTCTTGGCGAGCAAAAAATTGGCCATGTCTATAATCCATTCTTCGTAATTCAATATTTGTGAGTAACTCTCCAGCAAAAATTGAACTTGGATGATTTGATTGGCTCAGATGACAGGGTGATGAATGAAGCACCTCTCTCCTTCCCTCTCACAATAATCGACTCAATACCACCTTCTGTGCCCATAATGGCAGTGACAAGAAGCACACCGACGACAGTTAAGGAGAAAAATGACGACCATGGCGATGAACATAAGGTCCGCAAAGACGATCGGAGAAGATTGGCAGCTGCAGTTCACTGAGATAGAGAACAATGAAGCATGCAATATTGATGAGTACCTTATTTCTGTAACAAAATATGAAACACACAACACAACTTTAACGTGGTCCAGACAATTGATTAGCTTTGGTTTTATGGAGGGCTCTAAAACGCTCTTAGTAGCTTCTTATTCTCTTATTTCTTGTACATCTGCTTCTCTCTTCGCCTTTACAATCAACTAGGCCAAGAATTTTATAGATCAAGCAACTTAAACTGTGATTTAGGCGTCGATAAATCATTGTGTGTGGATTTAACTCTGAGGTGCTTTTGGGTCTTGAATGATGGTAGTGATTGCAAGTTCTGTCCACACGCAACAACATTCCAATTAGCATAATTCACTGTACCACAGCTAGCAATCAATAATAAAACCAGAGTTTCTGGCTGCACTCTGAAACATCATCACAAAGTTGATGGATTACCTGTTTTATTGTGGGATCGAGTAGTTCCTGACAGTAGATTGCGAGATACATCCCTGACAAATCACAGATCAGTGTCAATCCATGAATATCTTATACGATGTTCTTCAATATTTTACGAATCAAGCACTCACATGATTCTCAAATTTCCAGTGTACACAAGGTTTACCAGACCAACCGGTAGCTTGCCCTGTAGCTTGTTGTTATTCAATCTCCTGCAACCCAACAAAAAAAAAATTCCACTTTTATAATCCACATGTAGTAAATCAGTTAGATTTTTGGAGGTAAAGGGGAAGAATGAAACTTAACAAGAATCTCAAAGAGTGCAGATTGGCCAGAGTAGATGGGATTTGGCCAGTAAATTTGTTACTGTACAGATCCAAACTGACGAGTGCTGTCAAATTCCCAAGCTGGGCCGGGATGCTTCCACTCAGATTATTACCGTACAGCTCTCTGCTCATCCAAATCACATTGCAGGAAAGAATCATGAGCTTTCTAGTAAAAGAACAGGTGCAATAGGATGGTGACAGACGCAAAACTCGAAGGAGGGAGTATTATCATTACAAGTATTGAAGATTAGCCAACATCCCCAGCTGTGGCACAAGAATTCCGGTCAGCCCTGCGTCGCCAAGATCCCTTTAACAGAAGAAATGGGTCATTCTGAGTTCGAACATTGGAGTCAATAATATCACGCGTGAAAGGTAAGAAAAGGTAATACATACAGTCTAGTGACGGAGTTCTGGGAGTTGCAGGTGACATGAAACCAGGTGCAGGGATTGGCGAGGGTCGGATCCCAACTCTGGAGCACGTTGTTTGGGTCCGCCACTCCAACTTTAAACGCATTCAGAGCATCCCCTGTTTGTTGCATTATTAGCTCATATGCATAAATTTTCTCATTCATTCATAGCAAAAAAAAAAAGGAGTTAACGTTGGCTCGATTCGATACCTTCGGCGTTGCAGTTTACCGTGGTGATAGCAGCAGCAGCGAGCAGAACAGAAACGACCATGAATGCATCTGTAAATCTCGTCATTCTGTTTTCGTCTGTCTGTCTCTCTGTGTTTTTAGTTGCTGTTGGGAGTGCACAAATGGCTATGTTGTGCTTTCATGAAGCCGGTGGTACAAATAGGGGGAATTGCTTGTTAAGCGTGGAAGTCAGGAGCTAGTAGTGGTAATGTTCTAACGCAAAAAATTTAATTGGAGACGCCATGACTGACTGATTCAAAGTCTTGGAGTTTGATAAGATCAGCAGAAGAGTGGACTGACTTATGCTGCCAGCCATATCAAAATACCAGACCGACATGGCCAGAAATTCCAGAAGACTTTCGTTTCGGCTTTTGCTGTTAGGAGTCTCTGTTTGCTGGAACTGCAATGCATTTGCGCCAAAAGCCCAATGGACGGTGCAACCACAGGGGCCTTTTGAACTAAGATTTGGGCTCAGAAAAATAGGGAGTCAGTCCACAAAAACTCAGTACTCAATAATGAATATGGAGACAGCCCACGTGGCAAGATTGTTGATGAAAATTATGCCCAGAAACAGTCAGCTAGGAGAAGGAAGAAAACAAAGCCACACACAGCAGGAAGAAGAAGAAGAAGAAAGAACTGTTCTTTTGCCTGTTTGCCGTTCATAAGTATATGTACAACATGCTTGTTCTATCATCTATCAAGTACAACAGAAAAGGAAGAGGAAAAGAAGAACCCTTGTTCTACATAGAAGCTCCAATCTCAACTCTATGGTGCATCGGTGGTTTTCACAAACCGTCCCTTCACTCGCTTCCTCGTTTCAGCTCTAGCCTTCCTCGATTCATACCGTATGTGCTTATCGAATCTGCAGAGAAACCAGCAACCCCTCAATCTCAGAACAACAACACTACTAGATGAACAAGTACAAACAAAAGGTAATGAAAGGGTTTTGGCAGACTACATTACCTTCGTGTTTTCTTCTTCTCCTTATACCGTTGCACTGCATTCCCTCTGTTCTGCGCCATCACTACCACATCCACTACCTTGCTCCCACCTCCAGGGGCCAACGTAGCAACAGCGCTCCCTTCCCCGGAAGAGGCCTTCTTGAAGGACGCCTTTGTTGACAGCGGATGGTGGTTGTTGTTGCTCTCTGACGTCGTTGCTGCACCTTGGCTCATTGTTGGGTTGTTCGACTTCTTCTTCTGCATTAGTAACAGAAATGTATGAGAATCCGCAGGCAATGAGGATTGTGTGAAGATAGATTTATAAGCAGTAGAAGCGCGCTTACGGTGAAGGAGACCATGTCTTCGTGTCTAATGGAGGAACAATCAAATTGGTATGTATCCCCCGCCACTGATGATTCTTTGATCAACTCGCCGATACCCTTAATGGAGAAACCTGCTTGATTGCCTACGCCGTAGCCTCCCTCCAAGCCACCATCATCTTCTTGGTTCCTCGACTGTCCTGAATTGAAATCCCATATCTACAAACACAGAATAACACACAAATCTCACTCCACCAGTACAAAAATGGCGTCAATGAAGCTTCAAAACCCCCACACAGAACATTCAAAGATTACAACGCATAAATTTCCTCCAGCAGTAGAGTTCATAGTAATCGCCGGATGCTAAACAAAATGGTCAATCAAGTTCGAGATCTGGTTAATGGATAAGAAACGGAGAAATTCAATTTCACCAACCTGTGTAGTACCGTGAGCGGCGGGCTTGTTACTGTTGTTCTGGTTACTGTTACTGTTACCATTCCACAGTGTGCTCACTCCGACGAATCGATCAGTAGTGGTGGTGGCTTTCGATTCTGCTTCCGCCGGCGGTGGCAATTCGTTAAGCAAACACGAGAACGGTGGCATCGGCGGTTCCTTTTGCTCCCATCCCTCGCCACCGCAGTCTGGATCAATTCCGTTAGCCTGATTAGTTCCCTCCCAGCAATTCCTGCTCGGCGTATCCGACACCGGAATCTCTCCGCCTTCGCCGCCTGAAACCAAATCTCGCTTATACAGCTCCACCAGCTGCTTATATATCACCTGCTTGTACCTCCCGCAACTAGAGCCACCAGTCCCTTGCTTCTTCTCGCCGCCAGTACCGAAAATCGGGGCGTTGCCGACGGGAACTGTCAAATCCGGGAAGCTGAATCCGTCCTGTGAAACGCACATCCAACCCTCGATTTGCGCCATCCAGTCCTGCAATCCGCCGCCAATCGGAGCCTCCAGCGACACCACTGACTTCTCCTTCTCGGCGAAATCGAAGCCCCAAATCTCGGCGAGCTCGAGGGCGGAGGGGCAGCCGGAGAAGCCTTCGAGAGAAGCGCGGTCGTGAGAAGCGGAGCAGCTGCCGTGAGCGTCATAGTCGCACTCTTGGCAGAGGACCAGGTTATCGGTGGCGCAGCGGACGGAGACCGGCTCGGAGCTGCAGTTGTCGCAGATCTGGGAGCGGATGTGCTTCCGGGAGAGGAGGTTAGCGGAGTGGACGTGCTGGTCGCAGAACAAGCAGAGCTTCGCCGAGTCGGCTCGGCAGTAGAGAACGGCGAGCTGGTCGCTGCAGAAATCGCATGGGACTCCGCCGGCGCCGCGGCCGTTGCCGTCCGGTTTCCGACCCGCCATTTTTGCCGCGGAGAAGAGAGCTTCGGAGAAAGGGAAGAGGAAAGAAGGTGGGGATTAGACTTTTTGGTGTCGGGGTAAGGAGGAGAGAATGGGAAATAAAATATCGATAATGTGAGAAATGAGAGCTTTTCCTCCGACGCGTTCCCAAATTTACGGGGAAAATCTAAATGAGAGCCTTTTCCATAATGAATGAAATAAATGCGAGCTTTTTATCCGAGCTGGCGTTTGAGGTAGGGATGACATCATGACAATCAAACTTACAACTCTAGGTATTCATCAAATTGAGGAACTAGCACCGGGCCCGGCCCTTGGCCGGGTAAGTTTACCCAAAAATTGATGCAAAAATATCATGCTAAAAATATAATAAGAAGAAAAGAAATACGAATGAAAACCTTGGGCATAGTTTGAGCCCTGAGACAGTTACATGCCACTTAAGCGCTAAGGCTGCGCTGGAGATAATTAGTATATAAACACCAATGGCTGCTATAATTTCACCCCTTGTTCATTAAAAAGCATCATCAATTAATTGTCTTCTATTCTTCTCACTGGGGCTAGTAACTAAAATCATGTTTAATGTTATCAAATTATATCACCAGAAGTTTTTATCTTTCTGCGAAACATTGCCATATCGTGCCTCTCTCTTGATATAGAATCTAGAGCCAGACAAAATTGGTCCCTGAACTCCCATCCATTACAGGCGGCCATCTTACCTAAAACAGAATTCACAACGTAACTAATTTCCTCAACTTTTCTATTTACCCAAATGTAAACTTAAAGTCATCAAGGGACTTCATCACTTACCACGAATAAATTCCTCAGCTGGCGGTCATAGATATCATTCTCGCTCACGTTGTGAAATTTCTGAGGGAACTGAACGAAAGCTAGCTTATGTGGTAACCGAATTATGTGGCTGTCACTACAGAGGCTACCAACATAAGACACAGTCCAGGAGACAAAAAGCGACCTGGAGTTAGATTATGAAGTGTAGGAAATAGTTTTCACCTTAGGCACAGAGATGCGAAAAGGATTACGGATTCTTTTAGGAAACAATATTATTCGGTCATTATGTGAAATGAAGAGTACCTGTAAGATGACAGTCATATATGTAGTAATATATTCCATAGACAGTGATCAAACAATTCAAAATTCCCTCGCGTCTATCGAATTCCATCATCCGCTAGCGTCTACCGTTGCTCATGAAAATGAGGAAAGTGAAGCACACACTAATTGAAAAAGAACACTGTTGCAATCAAACTTTGACGAATCCCTAGTAGCAGCCGAGAAATCCTATAAAACAGAAACGACGGAAGAGGTCTCTGTCATTGACGTGGGATTTTGGTTTAGAAATTGTGGATTCGCCCCGTCGAGAACAAAGCAACACAGCAACCCAATTGAACCCCTAAACCGAGGTGGTCATGAGAATGGGGAGATTGAAGCATGCAACAAAAGAAAGAAAACCAATGTTACAATGAAAGCAGAAACTATAAACTTACTCTGCTGCCGATTCCAAGTTCCAACTCCAATTCTAAATAGGGTTTACAGAAGGAAAGATGCAGTTAGAAACCCTATCTTGCCGTTGGAGAAGGAGGAAGTAGGCTGCTGGTGCCTGGAGTCGATGACGGGGCCTTGATGGAAGTGGTGGTGGTGGGAAATCGGAGATGCGGTGGTAGAGAGAGGAGAAATAGTTTGGGGGTGGATTGAAAGATGAGTTATGGTGATGATGGGTGGTTATCAGAAAAAGAGGGAAACGATTCAATGGGAAGGCAAGGACGACGAATAGCTCGAATTGGAGAGGCAGACTGGAAACTGAGGTGTACTACAAAGCCAGAACATCAATCAGACGGATTTGGGGATTCAAGCGGCAGAAGGTCGCTATAACGGGAACAAAGTGGGGAATCAGTCGAACCTGGGTTTTGGAAGCAGAGAAGCTGAATCGGCGGATTCTGCTTCCGAGGCTGGGTTTTGGTTTTGACGTGGAGTCAAGGAATTGAGCGGCGTCACCACGGCGGACATCAAAGGTTGGCAAAGGCTGGTCGGAGGGAGAAGTTGATGCTGGGATCGCAGTCAATTGTCTAGCTGAAAGTGACCAGCGCAAAATGCAGCAATATTTACCGTACAGGAGGCTCACCATATCTTATCCGGGGCCGTATCTGGGCCGCCCTGAGTTAGGCGGGCTTTGTTTGGCCCAGTCGGAGATGTAAGTTGTCCAGCGAGGCAAAACGCAAGGTTTCATTTAATTGGTTGAAATTACATGTTTGTCCTTCCGGGAAACCCTCTGGTGGCTGGAATTTTGAAACCCTGAAAATCTGACCTATGTTTTGCTATTATATCTTTTGTAGATTTTTATGTATTAATTACGTATGTGACGGGTATGGGTAAATGTTATGACTGTTTTTTGCAGATCGAAAAATAGGAGATTTGATAATACAAGAAATGAAAGCGCAAACACACACGACACACGATTTACGTGGTTCATTAACACAATGTGTGTTAGCTAGTCCACAGAAAGGATAGAGCCAGTTTTCACTATATTTTGAGGAGTTATAGATTACAGAGGAGTATGAGAAGTATTTATAGTACTTCTTCAAGGTCTAACCCTAATCCAATCTGGTAAAGGAAAAGCGGTTACAACCAGGCCCAGAACCCGAACCCAAATAACATTGAGCTCATACACCGTGGCCCAGGGGCGTTTCCCCTGGATCCCCACTCGTTGACCGGGCAGCGAGACCCTCGTGACTTCCAGTCGTAACAGCTGATAGTCTAATTCAAGTCATATCAACAAATCTCCACCTTGACTTGAATCATCTTCCTCTGAAACCTCTGATGTACTATGATCTTTCTCTCCCTTTTGCCATCAATGCCCATTAGGACGGATTCACCCACTTAAGACATTCAACAAGTTCAAGCAGTGTTGGAACTTGCCATGTGGAACCGGCTTCGTGAACATGTCAGCAGGATTATCAGCGGTAACAGCCTTCTTCACCTTAATCCTCTTCTCTGTCCTCAAGTAATTATACATCACGTCGATGTACTTAGTCCTCTCATGGTGGACTTGATCCTTAGCCAAGCATATTGCACCCAAACTGTCGCAATACACCACTGCCTGATCATGATGTAGATCCAGATCACCAACCAGTCCCTTCAACCATATTTCCTCCTTAGCAGCTTCTGTCAACGTCGTGTACTCTGCTTCAGTAGTAGACAATGTCACTGTCGACTGCAAAGTTGCCTTCCAGCTCAGTACGGAACTCCCTAGAGTGAATACATAACCGGTCATCGATATCCTCGTGTCAACATCTCCAGCATAGTCAGAATCTGAATAACCAGCCACTAAACACTCCGTATCACTTCCGAACCTAATCCCCACATCAAATGTACCCTTAAGGTACCGGAAGATCCTCTTCACAACCTGTCAATGCTCCTTTCCAGGTTGTATCATGAACCTGCTGACAACACTAACAACATTTGCAAGATCAGGTCTAGTGCAGACCATAGCGTACATCAAACTACCAACTGCACTAGCATATGAGACTCGCGACATGTACTCCTTCTCAGCCTATGATTGCGATGCATAAACCGAGGATAGATGAACATTAGAAGCACTAGGATTATTCAAGGACTTTGCTGAAGACATGTCAAACATGGACAGTATATTTTGGATGTAGCTCTTCTATGACAAGAAAAACTTCTTCTTCTCTCTATCCCTGTAAATCTCAATACCCAAAATCTTCTGAGTAGCTCCCAAATCTTTCATCTCAAACTCGGCACTGAGAAGTCCCTTTAACTTCTGGATATCAGACTTCGACCTCGCAGCTATGAGCATATCATCCACATATAGAATCAGATATATCATCGAACCATCCGCTGCCTTGCTGTGATATACACAACAATCATAGGGACTTTTGTTGTAGTCCAGCTCAAGCATGTAGCTGTCAAACCTCTAGTACCACTGCCTTGGAGATTGCTTAAGTTCATACAAGGACTTCTTCAACTTACAAACATAGTCTTCTTTTCCTGGAACATGGAATCCTTCTGGCTGACTCATGTAAATTTCTTCCTCCAACTCTCCATGCAGGAAAGTTGTCTTCAGGTCTAGCTGCTCGAGCTCCAAGTCATAATGTGTCACTGTTGCAATTAGCACCTTGATCGAAGTGTGTCTGACTACTGGTGAGAAGATCTCATTGTAGTCAACTCTTTTCCTCTGCGAGAAGCCTCTTGCAACTACCCGTGCTTTAAATTGCATGCCCTATTCATAAGTCATTCCTTCCTTCTTCTTGTATATCCACTTTTTTTGTAACAATCTTCCTTCCCTGTTGACGTTTGACCAACTTCCAAGTCTGTTTCCTATCATGGGATTCCATCTCGTCCCCCATTGCAGCAAGCCACTGAGCGGCTTCGCCACACAAAACTCTTCTTTGTAGGATTGTGGTTCACCCGCACCTACCTCTTCAGCAACCTTAAAAGCATACGCCATCATGTCCTCAAAGCCATATCTTTGTGGAGGTACTCCTGCAGTCGCTCTCTTTGGTCTACCGGAAGCTATAGACTGTTGAGCTCCTGCACTGGACTCTGAAGTTTCTGGCTCATCAGAAACATCCTCATGTTGATCTTCTCCACCTTAGTGCTCAAACTCACTCTCTTTGAGAGTTTGCACCTCCACCTGTTTATCAATATTCCTATTGTCTCCAACAACAGTAACATTCAACATGGGGGTTAAACATAGACTTCTCATCAAATATCACATTCCTCCTAAGTATGACTCTATGCTCAGAAGGTAACCAGACTTGAAATCTCTTAACTCCATTACCAAAACCCACGAAAACACCTTTCTTTGCTCTTGGATTCAGCTTACCCTCATCCACATGATAGTAAACATGACAACCAAAAATTTTCAATGAAGAGTAATCAGCAGGCTTACCATACCACACCTCATAGGTGGGCGGGCATGGTTTTCTCGCTATCAACCTGAATCCGCCCGATTATACACTTGCATATGTATTTTGTCTAGAAATAATCAATATTTTTCTCTAACGTATTTTATGTTTAGCATATAAATATAATATGTTTTTGAAATTGTATTGTTTTAATTAATTTTGTTCATTCTAGTGAATAATTGTCGT